GGGGAGAGAGAGGTAGTGTCAGATGAGGATAGAGGGGGTCGTACCATATGACTGTCATATGGGGGAAGGGGCTAATGTCATATGGGGGATGAAAATGATGGGTTTGGATAAAATTGAATGGGGTATACACATTAATAACATATTTCAAGAAAAATGTGTAGAATTAGTATCGGAAGGTGAGGGATTAGTATCGGAAGGTGAGGGATTAGTATCGGAAGGTGGGGGACAAGTATCGGAAGGTGGGGGACTAGTATCGGAAGGTGGGGGCTAGTATCGGAGGGTGGGGGATTAGTATCGGAAGGTAGAGGATTAGTATCTGAAGGTGGAGGATTACTATCGGTAGGTGGAGTATTAATATTGGAAGGTAAGGGATTAGTATCGGAAGGTGAGGGATTAGTATGTGATGGATTAGTATCGGACGGTGGAGGATTACTATCACAAGGTGGGGGATTAGTTTTGGCAGGTGGAGGATTAGTATCGCAAGGCGGAGGATTAGTATTGGAAGGTGGGGGATTAGTATTGCAAGGTAAGAGGTGGAGGATTAGTATCGGAAGGTGGGGGATTAGTGTCGGAAGGTGGGGGATTAGTATTGGAAGGTGAAGGATTAGTATCAGAGGGACAGATAGCACAGAACAGGAAGATTAATTTAGAGATCAATGGATGTTAGTGGGAAGTCTGCATAACAGGGATCATTTGAAGTGGAGATGAGGCGATACAGGGAAAACTTGCAGAGACTGGGATAAACAAACCGGTTAGCAGATAGATGGGGAATGGATAAGAAAGAGATTATATATGGGATTATAAAGAGCAGTTGGAGGGACTGTTTTATCCCTTAAAGGGACACTAAAGGCACCCAGAACACTTCATCTCGATGCACCTTGATGCTTTAGGCTCATGCCCAATCAAACATCTATGGACATATCCTTCATCTATTAAATAGTTTTAGAAAAACGATGAATAAAGAAACAAGAGGAAACGAAGTGACAAAAATGATAACAATTCCTTCTTAGTGACAGATGTGCTTTATATTGAAATAACCTCGACACGGGAGAATTGGTTGACTGAATAGCATTGTATCTCCGATTAAAGCCTTTTAGTTTCTATTCCTTTTTTTTTCAGGTATTTTGCAATTTATGGTAATGGCTGCAACATCTTCTGAAAAATGAAAACTGCAAGATCATCTCTCAAGGTAGGAAAACAATATGACAGCGCTACACAATATGTTGGTGCTATAAATAAACATGATTACCCGTATATACTCGAGTATAAGTCGACCCGAATAGAAGTCGATACCCCTATTTTTACCTCAAAAAACTGGGAAACCGTATTGACTCGAGTATAAGACTAGGGTGGGAAATGCAGCAGCTACTGGTAAATTTCTAAATAATTTTAAATTCCCCCCAAAATTATATTAATTGAATATTTATTTACAGTGTGTGTATATAATGAATGCAGTGTGTATGAATGCAGTGTGTGTATGTGTATGAGTGCAGTGTGTGTATATAATGAATGCAGTGTGTGTGTGTGTGTATGTGTATGAATGCAGTGTATGTATGAGTGCAGTGTGTGTATATAATGAATGCAGTGTGTGTGTGTGTATGAATGCAGTGTGTGTATAATGAATGCAGTGTGTGTGTATATAATGCAGTGTGTGTGTGTGTGTATATAATGCAGTGTGTGTGTATGAGTGCAGTGTGTGTATATAATGAATGCAGTGTGTGTGTATGAGTGCAGTGTGTGTATATAATGAATGCAGTGTGTGTGTGTGTATATAATGCAGAAGTGTGTCCGTCGGTCCGGCCTTGGTTACGTCGTGCTCCACAATATATATATATATATATATATAAAACAGCAATAGTGCTCTCAGTTGGAAAAAATAAATAAAATATACTAACAAGTGTAGAGCAGGAAATTATTTTATTATAATAATAAAAGTAGGGAAATTAAAAAGATCATTAAAAAACATTGGCATATTTTAGAACACGACGACAAACTTCTTAAAATCATTCCTGAAAAGCCAAATATAGTCTTTAGAGGAGCCCCCAATTTTAAATCATTTTTTTTTTTGAAATTCAAGGTTTTTATTGTTTTCAAGTTATAAAAAAGGGGGGGTTGTTGGGGTACAGAAAGGAAGAAGGGTTGGGGGGAGGAAGGGTAACAGGGTCTTAGGACCAGTCGTCCACGTTCTCATCGTTATGACAGAACATTATTTTTGACATGGAATTACTTGACCATCGTATTAAACATTACAAGCAAAAGACAGAACGAGGTTGAGCTTACAGTTAACAGTTTACAGCGTTTTACCTTAATTTTTACATATCATTCGGGGTAGGGTACAGAAAGGGGGAACTTGGGTATGAGTTTGGGTTCACAGAGATCGGATATCTTGTTGACCTTGTCTGTAGCTGGTAAGGTGCTTGAACTATGAATTAGTGGTGTTCCTTATTTTGCGTTAGTTCTAGCTGCTGCAGTTGTTGATAATTGTTATTGTTTGACTCTGTATCTGGTGGGAGGGGGGTTCCGGGATGTAACTCTTGGGGGGGGGTGAACTATATTGTCAGGCTCCCGCGGACGGCTGCGAGGGGAGGCTGCACTCCGCTCGCAGTACTCACCCTCCAGCCGTCCGCGGTCCCCTCCGCCTCGTGGGTACGGCGAGCGGCATCCTTCCAGCCTCGGATGCCGCCCGCCGTTCCCTCCACGTCCCCCAGCGGCAGCATGCATGACGCTGCACGCTGGGAGACCGCCCAGGGTTATACACGCCGGGGTCAGTCACCTGACCCGGCGTTAAAGGCAAAGTGCCACAATCACAGTGGGAGGTCTAAATATCTCCCACGTGTGATTGTTAATTCTGATTGGAAATCATCCAATCAGAATTAACCTGATGGTTTAAATACTTACCTTTCCTGTTCCTCCTTGCCCTGTTGTGGTCTTTGCTTGTTAGTATTGATTCTGAACTTGTGCTTCTGGTTACGTACTCTCTGGCTTGTTATCCGACTTTGTGACTTTCTCCTACCCTTTGACCTCGGCTTGTTTCACGTTATTCTGTCTTCTGGTTCCCCTTACTCGGCTTGTTTCCTGACTATTCTTTGTGTGCTTAGCCCGGCCACTCTAAGGTCCGGTACGGCACTTTGTGTGTGTGTGTGTGTTGGCGTGTTTGGTTCCCCGAATCGTGACATTACAACAGGGCCATAATGGAACCTGCTGACATACCACAGCTCCTAGTTAATCAAGAGGCTAGAATGGATGGCTTAGACCACCGTATGGATCAGTTTGCTCAAGCTTTACAAACCATTCTGGCTCGTACTGCACACTTGCAACCGGCCGTTCAGGAGGCTGCTGCTGCTGTGCCTGAACCCATTCCCACTCCAGTACCTGTTCCCGCTCATGTAGTTCACATGACGCCGCCACAGCGCTACAGTGGTGACCCAGCATTGTGTCGTGGTTTCCTCAACCAAATCGACATCCATTTGGTGATGAATCCACGCTCCTATCCCACTGACAGATCTAAAATTGCCTTTTTGATAAACCACTTGTCCGGGAGAGCTTTAGCATGGGCCAACCCCATTTGGGAAAATACGTCTCCTATGTCCTTTGCAGATTTTCTGACAGCTTTCAGACGCACGTTTGATCAACCCGGTAGGGTTGCTTCTGCTGGCAAGGCTCTGCTTAGGGTCCGACAGGGTAACAGGTCTGTAGCAGATTACACTATCGAATTTCGTACTCTAGCAGCTGAAGTGGTTTGGAATAATGACGCCCTCGTAACAGCCTTTCAGGAGGGTCTGGCCGCTTATATACTGGATGAAATAGCATCCAGGGAATTACCTGCTCTTCTAGATGATGTTATAGACTATGTGATTCTTATAGATAACCGTATTAGAGAGAGGCGTAGCCAAAGACGGTTGGATACACGGGTGTTACCTGCTCTACCCAGTACTTCCCTGCTAGCGTTACCCGCTCCTGTGCAGCCATCCCCTGAACCCATGCAGTTGGGTGCTACAGGGTTAACTGAGGCCGAAAGAGCGTACCGTAGAAGGGAGGGGTTATGCCTTTATTGTGGGAAGAGGGGGCATCACTGTAAAGCCTGCCCTAAACTACAGGGAAACTGCAGCACCTAAGGCCTAGAGAGGGGTCGGCCTCGGGTGTTATGACTTTGTCCCCTCATATGTCCATCTCTAGACCGTTTATTACGGTTTCTCTCTTGGTCAATAAAACCACTATAACAACCAAAGCCCTGATCGATTCAGGTGCGGCAGACAACCTTATGGATGAGACCTTTGCCAAAACCGCAGCCCTGAATTTGATTCGAAAGGAGACACCCTTGGCCGTTGAGGCCATAGATGGTAGACCACTGGAGAAACCTCTGGTGACCCATGAAACCCAGGAAATAGTTATGTCTGTGGGTGTTTTGCACAAAGAGAAGTTAACCTTCCAAATAATTAACTCCCCAACAGCCTCCATCGTTCTAGGTTTTCCCTGGTTAGTTAAACACAACCCTGTTCTTGATTGGGGTTGTTTAGACATACTTTCCTGGGGGGAATCTTGTCAGCGAGACTGTGTGGCTCATGTACGTCCTGTCTGTTTACTTAACGTACCCACGGCTAAACCACTCTCGGTTTCTGTGCCCTCTGTTTATGCGGATCTTGCCTTGGTTTTTGAGAAGAGGGAGGCAGATAAGCTACCTCCACATCGTGAGTATGATTGTGCCATAAACCTTTTACCGGGCACTATGCCTCCTAGGGGAAAGGTCTACCCTCTTTCTGAAAAAGAGAACCAAATCATGGAGGAGTACATACAGGAATCCCTAAGAAAAGGTTTTATTAGAAGGTCCTCCTCTCCTGCTGGTGCTGGTTTCTTTTTTGTGGCTAAGAAGGAGGGTGATTTGAGGCCATGTATAGACTACAGGGGTCTGAACAATATAACGGTTAAAAACGCCTACCCTATCCCCCTCATCACTGAGTTGTTTGATCGTGTTAAAGGTTCTAAAATTTTCACCAAATTAGACCTCAGGGGGGCTTATAACCTTGTCCGTATAAAGGAGAATGACGAGTGGAAGACAGCCTTCAACACACGCAGTGGGCATTACGAATATCTGGTCATGCCTTTTGGATTGTGTAATGCTCCTGCCGTGTTTCAGGACCTCATAAATGATGTCCTTAGGGATCTATTGCATGTCTGTGCTGTAGTATACCTTGACGACATACTTGTGTATTCTCCTGATTTGAAGTCACACCATAACCATGTTAGGATGGTGCTCAAAAGGCTATTGCAGAACGGACTCTACTGTAAGTTAGAAAAATGTTTATTCGATCAGACCTCTGTGCAATTCCTAGGATATATCATTACTGAACAGGGTTTCAGTATGGATCCTGCTAAATTGGAAGCTATAATGTCCTGGCCACTTCCCCAAGGACTAAAGGCTATCCAGCGTTTTATAGGATTTGCCAACTATTATAGGAAATTTATAAAAAACTTTTCACCACTCATATCTCCCATAACGAAGTTGACAAAAAAAGGTCTACATCCTAGGGTTTGGACTCCTGAAGCCCTTAAGGCCTTCGAAACCCTCAAGAAGGCATTTGCCTCTGCTCCAGTGCTGCACCACCCTGATCCTTCTCTTCCCTTTGTTATGGAAGTAGACGCTTCAGAGTCAGGTGTGGGAGCCGTACTGTCACAGAGGTTGTCTTATGACAAACCCCTCCATCCCTGTTGTTATTTTTCTAAAAGGTTGTCTGATTCAGAGAAGAATTATGATGTTGGGAATAGGGAACTATTAGCTATTGTGTTAGCTTTCAAGGAATGGAGGTACTTATTAGAGGGTTCTAGACACAAAATTATGGTTATAACAGATCATAAGAATCTATCCTATATTGCTGATGCTAGAAGGTTATCTGCCCGGCAGGCTAGATGGTCTCTATTTCTCTCACGCTTCCAATATGTTATCACCTATAGACCTGGTTGCCGTAATGCCAAGGCTGACGCCATCTCTCGGCAGCATGAACCAGTAGAATTTGTTAACCCGACTCCTGAACCTATTGTACCTGAGTCACAGATAATAGCTGCTACCCGTTTGGTTGTTTCTTCACCTTTCCTTACCAGTATTAAGACATACCAAACCCAGGCACCCCCTGAGACGCCGGTTGGTAAACTATACGTTGAAGCTAATGACAGAAAAAAGTTGTTAACTTTATTTCACACAGCCAAAACTGCTGGTCATCCGGGGGTTACCAAAACCTACAAGGGCCTCCTTCAACAGTTCTGGTGGCCTTCACTCAAGCGAGACGTAGTGGATTTTGTTCAGGCTTGTCAGGTCTGCACGCAATGTAAGTCCCTTAATATGAGACCCCAGGGTTTTCTGATGCCTCTATCTATACCCAAGAAACCATGGACCCACTTATCCATGGATTTCATTGTAGACCTGCCTCTTTCTGATGGTCAGACGGTGATACTGACTGTGACGGATAGGTTCTCTAAAATGGCGCACTTCATTCCGCTTAAGAAACTGCCTTCTGCGGTTCAGTTAGCTCAGGTATTTGCCAAAGAAGTGTTCCGATTGCATGGGGTACCCCAGGATATCGTATCTGACAGGGGCCCTCAATTTGTCTCTCGGTTCTGGAGGGGCTTTTGTGCTGAGATGGGGGTATCCTTGTCGCTTTCTTCCTCCTATCACCCGCAATCTAATGGTGCGGCCGAACGTGCTAATCAGTCTGTGGAATTGTATTTGCGCTGCTTCACTAATGCGCACCAGGATGACTGGTCTCGCCTTCTTCCGTGGGCTGAATTTGCCAGGAATACGGTGTCTCATTCGTCTACTGGCTTAAGTCCTTTTGAGGTTGCTTATGGGTTTCGTCCTTCTGTCCTTCCCGGTGCGTTCTCCGACAAGGGAATGCCCGCCTTGGACCAGCACCTCGCCTCTTTGCGGAAGACGTGGGATCAAGTCCATGTTGCGCTGTCTCGTTCAGCAGCTGCTCAGAAAAAGTTTGCTGATCGCCGTAGGGTTGCGGCCCCTTCCTATGTTCCGGGTGATAGGGTATGGTTGTCCTCCCGGAACCTCCGTCTCAAGGTTCCCTCGATGAAATTTGCCCCCAGGTTTCTTGGTCCCTTAAAGGTGTTACGTAGGGTTAATCCCGTTTCCTACTCCCTTGATTTGCCTCCTTCCATGCATGTCCCGAACACGTTTCACGTCTCGCTTTTGAAACCCTTGCTGTGTAACCGGTTCTCTCGTCCCCTCGGGCGGCCCGTTTCCCCTCGAGCTGTCTCTGACGACGTGTACGAGGTGGCTACCCTTCTCGACTCTCGTGTTTCTAGGGGTCGGCTGCAATATTTGGTGGACTGGAAGGGGTACGGCCCTGAGGAGCGGTCCTGGGTTTCAAGCTCCGATGTGCACGCTCCCTCTTTGGTCCGCTCCTTTCATGCCCGCTTTCCTTTGAAGCCTTCCGCTTCCCACCCCCTGGGTGGTCTTCGAGGGGGGGGTAATGTCAGGCTCCCGCGGACGGCTGCGAGGGGAGGCTGCACTCCGCT